GCTCTGTCTCAAAAAATAAAAAAATAAAAAATAAAATGGGTGAAGAACTTTATAAATAGACATTTCTCCAAAGATGTTATACAGATAGCAAATAAACACAGAAAAAATGCTCAACATCACTCTCTAACATTAGGGAAATGCAAATCAAAACCACAAGATACCACTTCACACCTGTTAGGATGGCTATTATTTTTTTAAAGAACAGAAAATAACAAATCTTGGGAGAATGTGGAGAAATTGAAACCCTGTGTATTGCGGATGGGAGTGTAAAGTCTTTCAGCCACTATGGAAAACAATGTGGGCTTCCTCAAAAAATTAAACATTGAATTACCATATGATCTAGCAGTTCTACTTCTAAGTATGTAGATCAAAAAAATTGAAAGCATAGATGAACAGATACTTGTCACCCATGTTCACAGCAGTATATTATTCACAGTAGTCAAAAGGAGAAAGCAACCTGGGTAAATAAAATGTGGGATATACATACAACAGAATATTATTTCTCCTTAAAAAGAAAGGAAATTCTGACGCATACTATAACATGATGAACCTTGAAGACGTGCTAAGTGAAATAAGCCAGTTACAAAACGACAGATACTTTACAATTCCACTTCCATGGGTTACTCAAAATAGTCGAATTCATAGAGACAAAGTAAAATGGATGCCAGGGAGTAGAGGGACTTGCTTCTCCTCCATTATTCCCTGTCTCTTTGAATGAAAACATTAAGTTGGTCAAATCAGAAAACCCAGGAGTCATCCTTTATATGCCTTCCTCACTTCAGATCTTCACCAGATCTTCAATAGGCACCTACTGCCTATTCTACCTCCAGAATTTATCAATACCTCTTATTCCACCAACACTCTTTAATCCAGGCTGTCATCCCCTCTTGCCTTGAACCATCACAATAAACTTTAATTTTGGGCTCCCTAATTTCATTCTTGGAGGAGACTGGGAAATGGGCATGAGAAAGACTTTCTGAACTGAGGAAATCTCATGTAAAGGCTATGGAATAATTGTCTTTATTTTTTTTT